TTGGCGCCAGGATATAGGTTGTAAAATATCTGATGACACAGGCCATGCTAGTAAATCGAATCCAAGTCCCCCCTTCCTCCACTTGAATGGCAGTATCACTTTTAGGGATCTGACACAACAGACATAAGTAACAAGGCACTTCTCCTTTCTTTTGTGAGGATTGAGTGTGAAGGAGAGTTACAGGAAGAACTACTTTGTTCACTCAACTTGCCGGGTGGAATAACTAGCTCTGAGATTTTTGAAGCACTGAATAGATATTTCTTGGAACATGGAATATAATGGAAAAAATGTATTGGTATATGTACAGAAGGTGCCGCAAACATGACTGGACATCTTTCAGGAACTGTTGCAAAGGTGAAAAATGTTGGCCACCCAGACATTTTGTCTACACACTGCATTCATTATACATCGTGAGCAACGTGCAGCGAAAAAAATGTCCCCAGAACTACACAAAGTATTTTCAGATGTTATTAAAATTGTAAATGAAATTCGACACAAAGTGCTAAATTCTCGAATGTTTGAGGCACTTTGTGAAGAAATGGGTTCCGAGTATACTCACCTTCTGCACGCTGGGGTGATATGGCTGTCAAGGAGCAAAGTACTAACCCGACTGTTCACCCTGCGCGAAGAAGTCAAATTATTTTTCTCCCAGCAAAATAATCCAAAATTTCAAGAACTCTTGTCTGATGATGAGTGGGTAGCCAAGCTTGCATACCTGGCAGATATTTTTTCGCTGTTAAATGAACTAAACTTATCTTTGCAAGGACAACTTAAGGATGTGTTCACATTACGAGGTAAAATGGATGCTTTTCAAAAGAAAATACTACTGTGACAAATGCGATTGGCTGAAGAAGATCTGCAGATGTTTTCAAATTTTGATGAATATATGGGAGAGAAGGATGTCAACCGGCAGGTGGTAACCATTGTTCAACAGCACTTACAATCACTCACAGAATCTTTTGGTCATTACTACCAAAGAAAGAAGATCCCAGACATGGCAGTATGTGGATAATAGATCCATTTGCAGCAAATGATCTTCTTTCTTTGGTAGTAATGACCAAAAGATTCTGTGAGTGATTGTAAGTGCTGTTGAACAATGGTTACCAGCTGCCGGTTGACAGCAACAGTTTCATCGATCTATCATCTGATGATGGTCTCAAAGCTAAATTCCAGTCATCCATATCAAGACCTCATTTCTGGCTCTCCGTAAAAAGTGAATATCCATTGCTGAGTGAAAAAACAATGAAAATTTTGATTCAATTTTCAACAACATTTTGTGCGAAAAGACATTTTCAGCTTTCACAGCAATTAAAAGTAGGTATCAGTCTCAGTTCGAAATAAAAATGACTCTCTGTGTTGCAGTATCATCATTGGAGCCAAACATCCATAAACTTATTTCAAGCAAGCAGGAACAAATATCACACAAAAAATGTGTAATACTTAAATAAGCTTCAATTATTTTGTAATAATTACACTAACTTTTGTTATAATTTAAAACAAAAATAAAACAAACATAAAACTAACTTTTGTTACAATTTAAAACAAAAATAAAACAAAAATAAAATTTTGTTACAATTAAACAACCTTTAAAGATTTTGTAATAATTAAATAAGCATTTGTAATTTTGTAATATTAAATAGGTGCAATTCATATTAATAAAATGGAAGTTCTCTGTTCATCATTTTACAAATGTATTTATCTTTTTAAAAAAAATCATATTAGTGGTCTGCGGTACTTAAAATTATGAATTAGGGTTCGCGGGATTTAAAATTATGACTTTGGTGGTCCCTGAGGTCCAGAATTTGGGGACTCCTGATCTAAATCTTGTCAATAAATTAAATAAATAAATATGCTCCCAGGCTGTGAACCTGTTCTTTCAGGGGAAGAATGTGATTCTTCCAACAAATGCTGATTATTTATTCAAACAATAGATTAATTTCTCTATTGTAATGTGAAATGCAAAATGTGTTGTGTGAAAAATTACATCTAAGTATTTTTCTATTTTACTTTCATAGATATGAACCAGATGATTAATTCTGAAGAGGTTATTTTGTTTCAAGAAACTGCCACAAAATGAAATGGAATGAAAATACAGATTTGGGAAAAAGGATTTGTTGTTCAATATGTTTCAGTATGTTTTCTAAGCAGTCTACTTCCTTTTTTAAACATTTTATTATTAGAAAGCCATAAGAGAAAATGCTGAATAAAAAAAACATACATATTTGTGGTTTAGGGCCATTTTAAATGTTTAGATCATATACTGCATAACAAGTACAAATGCAGAACGTTTACCAACGTTTATCTTCTTTCAGTAAAAAAATTTATTATGAACTTAGTTCAAAATAGTTAATTATAGTTCTTTGCGTACTGTTAAAATACAATTCTAAAGAAACCTCCCTACAGTTTTTATTTTTCTGAAATATTGCTTTTCTTTTTCAGAATATTAGCTAGAAATATTAGCTAGAAATGATTCTGTTGCCATTAAACATAGCACCTACGTTTGGCTTGAAGCTAGTAAGAACTTGATCCCTAAGAGAGACACTTTTAGCTATGCAAAGGAGCTTTATTGTCCATTCGAAAATACAAATCACCAAGTAATTCAGACAAAGCAAAAAGCATTACTTAGGAAGGTCAGGTCTTTATACAGGGTACAGAAATAAACAAATGCTACATAATATTCTGTATATGCGATGTGCAAAAAGTAACTGATAAAGCATTAAGTAAACATAAGAGAGACAAAATTAAAATATGTTGCCTCTTCCGCTTTCCCATCCAGGCTTGTTTGTTTAGTATTTGCAATACATAAGGACTTCCAACTATGTTCCTTATTTGTTTCATTCCTGAAAAAGTTAATATTTGCATATAAAAGAAATAAATGGTTTTGGCTAAAATGAAAAGATGATTTCCTGAGCATTCATGCTAAATGCTAATACCACCTTTATTAAAAAGCTAATAATGAATCCTACAACTCCAGGTAACAATTTGACCATTTGGTTCTCTTTGACAAGGAGAGTGGCTTCGCGGAATCATCAAAATCTAGAATGAACCCTCTCAGATTTTATCATCTTTACAGGGGAATTTATAAGCAGCATAAATTCTTCCATCTGAAATGGATGTTTCTGGTCACTTAAAGGAATCCCAGATGCCTTCCAGAGTGCTTGTGCTTGTTTCTGTAAGGATAGAAACTGGCAGTTATTTCATTGCCCCTGCCCATGAATTAACTGAGATGGCAGGGAGATACCGCTATCCCTTTGGGCGTCCTTGGCCTTGAAGGTTTCCACAAAGGGCTCCAGGAGCCAATCTTCAATAGCTTGGGTACCGTAATGGCCTTTCACATATACAGTAATTGTTGAGCCAGAAGACTGAAAAGCATACGTAGCAACTGGTTGTGCATTAGGAACCATCCAGAATGAACTCTTCCAATAAGACATTGAAAGTAGCAGTTCCAGCAACTGAAAGAAACTTTTCATAAGCTATACCAGAGGGAACTTGAAACACAGATACAAAATCTGAACGATACAAAGTTACTGAGTAGCTTTACCAGCATAATCGGCAAAGTGGTTGTCTTTAGTAATAAAAGAAGTGCATCGATAGAAGAAAAAAAACAGGTTTGAGTGAGCAATCTGGCAGTGTAAGGTGGTAAAATAGCCTCAGCTTCCATAAGCATCTGTACCATGGCAAACACCAAAGCATATAGGTAGTCCTTAACTTGCAATCATTTGTTTAGTGACCAAAGTAACAACAGCATTGAAACTGATTTATGACCAGTTTTCATGCTTATGACCATTGTAGCATCCCCATGATCATGTGATCAAAATTTGGATGCTTGACAATTGGTTTATATTTATTGTGATCATGTTTTGCGACCTGACAAGCAAAGTCAATGGGCAAGCCAGATTCATTTAACAACTGTGTTAGTAATTTAATAGCTTCACTAAATCACCCAATTGTGGCAAGTAAGTTCATAAAATGGGGCAAATTCATTTAACAACTTACTCAGCAGCAAAAATTTTGGCCTCAGTTGTGGTCAAAGTTAGATTTTCTGCGTTATTGCTTTTCCACAGATGCAATCCAAATAGATCCCCAGAAAGTGCATACAAGTGCTCTCCCAGCCATCCCCTCATAATGTAAAAGAAGTTTAGCATTTCCTAAGCTTTGCAAACTTTTATAGGAAGTTTATTCCAACTGTACATAAGGTTAAGCCTCTGACTTAATTGCTGAAAAATAAAGTGAAATTTGATTGGACAGAAAGGGAACAGTCTACATTAGGGGTCTGCAACCTTAAACACTCAAAGAGCCATTTGGACCTGTTTCCCACAAAAAAGAAATCATTGGGAGCCACAAAATCTGAATGGGTGTGGCCAACTCGATTTCACTCACTCCCACCCAGTCACATGATCACCACTCCCAGCCATGCTTACCCAGGTTTTGTGGTCCCTGGTGTTTTCTGTGGGAAACAGATATCTCGCACTCTCTGTCTATCTTTCTCTCTCTTTCTCCCTCTGTCTCTCCCTCTCTCATCTCCCTCTCTCATATCTCCCTCCCTCCCTCTGTGTGTGTGTGTGTTCCCTATTGAACTATTTCCAAAAACGCGAGGGTTGGTGGTGGTTTTTTTTTTTTTTTTGCTGATGACCTTTTTTCTTTGGGTGCTTGTTACCATATTTAAATCGAGAGTTATTTCAGGTAAATTAAATTTTTTCATCCCCCTGCTGTAGCTCCCTGTTGACTGAACCCACCACTGGCTAGCCCTCCCCCTCATTCTCCTCTCCCAATCACATCCTCACCTGGCCTGAGAAGGTAAGGGCAGCAGCAGACGATGGAGACTCACAGAGTGGGAGAGAAGCGCCCCTGTACTTGCCATATCTTGCAGGCGCTTCTTCTGGCCCTTGTTGGTGTTGCGTACACCTTGGTCGCTTGGGAAGACGTGCGACTTGCTCTCTGTCCCAAGACACTGGCTTGGCCTGGCTGCTGTTGCCACTTCCATAGCCTGTCCGCTGCTCTCACAGTACCTTGCCCAGCAGAGTTAAATTTAGCACGCTTCACAATGTGGGAGACTGTCCCCTCTTCCTCCTGGAGTCCATTATGATGCAGAGCATCAGCTGCAACTGGGCTGGGCCACTGTCTCAGGGCAGAGAGCAAGTCACACATCTCCCCAAGCGACCAAGGTGTGCGCAGCACCAACAAGGACCGAAAGAGATGCCTGCGAGATATGGCAAGTACAGGGGTGCTTCACTCCCACTCTGGAATATGGAGCGAGTCTCAATTCCTCACCATCGCCCTTACCTTTTCAGGCCAGGTGAGGAGTGACTGGGAGGTGAGGGCAGGGGGCAGGGGGCAGGGCCAGCTAGTGATGGGTTCAGCCAACGGAGCCACAGCAGGCAGATGAAAGAGCCGAATGCGGCTCTGGAGCCACAGGTTGCAGACACCCAGTCTACATTCAATGAATTAAAATTGCTTTTTGCCACACAGCCCCTTCTCCCTGACACATCAGTGAAATTTATTGTCCAGAGAGATGCCTCAGACACAGCATTTCTATTGCAGGAGTAGCCAGTTTCTCACTTGTGACTTTTACTCCAGAGAGATAACTCTTCCAGAAAGGAATTATGACATTTTTAACAAAGAAATTTAGCAGTGAAAACGGCTTATAAAAGCACCTCAAAGTACCAATGAGTTTGCTTAATGACTGTGGCATTCACTTAATGACCATGGTGTTTGCCAAATGTTCATTATGAAAAATGGTCATAAAATCAGTAAGTTGACTGTATACTGTAAATACCAAGGGCTTATTTTTATGCCTGTTTAACTGTGAAGCAAATACTGTATGTCCAGATAAACTTTTCTTTGTCAGATTTTTCTGTCACGGTCTTTACTGTATTTCATTTTTGATCCACAGCTTACAGACATTTTTGCTAACTTCAACTGTTCAAATTTTAAAATATTGTTTTGCTCTTTTCCCCACATTTTCCCATGAAAATGATCTAGCATACTTTCTCAATAATGTGATTAATTCTGGGTTAATTCTTGAGTTGGATGTGCTCTTTAGTCACTTTAGGTCTGCTGAAGATTTTTCCCCCTCTGATACTAGGCACTGCCTTTCATGCCCATTTAGAAAAGTTAGAGGCATGACTTCTACAGAAGTATCTGCCCAAGAAATGTCTCACCAGAACTTTTCTAAATATCAGATCTCACCTGAACACTTACTTTCTCTTTCTCTCTGGGCTTAGTCCTCTTTTGAAAGAGTGCTAGTCCAGTGCTTTAAAAAAGGTCAATTTAAACAGGAAGAGGGAGCTGTATGTTGATGGCTAAGGTCACCAGTAAATGCATTATAGGTTAACCACTCCTGCTGACAAGGATTTCATATGGCTGTTCATTTTACTATATTTATCACTTAATCTATGGTAGGAGATAGCATTTTGCCTACCTTTATGCCATTTTGTCTGTTCTTCAGGCTACATAAAGGTCCCACAGGCAATAGCTGCTCATTGTCCTTCCTTTGCAGTATTTATCATATTTATATATCTCACATAAATGTGACTCTTAGTTCACTTTTACCCTGTTATTACCCTGATAATAACCCCAATCGGGCTTTTGAGCACATGGCAATAAGGCCAAGTGCTTATTTCAGGGTTCAAAAAAATATAAGACAAGGTCTTATTTTCGGGGAAACATGGTAGTATTTTAGTATTTAGCATGAAGCTCTTCCTTATTAATTGTTCCCTTCAGCTGTATCTTATTCCTCTCTTCACCAGTGACTTATTAGCGCAGCTATTTTTGACATGGATTTGGTGCTTTATTAGTAAAAAATAGCAAGCTGATAATTAAGAGATGAAAAAATAGGTGGCCTCTTAACTAAGCAGATGACTAAATTACCTATTCTAAGCACCAGTCCACAGTATACCTTCTCCATCTTGCCATATATTAAAAAGAGTAATTAGTAATGTTTTCCCATCTGCAAGGGACCATTGGTGGGAAAGAAAATAAAGGCAGTTGTTTTTAAAAAACTTACCTGCACTCTGGACACTATCACTTTCTGTTCCCATTACTTAAAATAGTGATGACTACCCGTGTTTTCCCAAAAATAAGACCCAGTCTTATTTTCTTTTGGGACCCAAAATAAGCACCAGGTCTTATTTTCAGGGGATGTCTTACCAGCTTACTTTAGGACCACCACAGGCAGGCCTCCCACACCATAACACCTATTGCGCTGCTGCCTGATTTTTTCCACGTGGCATGTTGCACCATTGTGTGAGCAGCAGCAAGGGAGTGATGTGCCATGCAGCCTGTGAGCGGTAGCACCGGCATGATGTGCCATGCTGTCTCCTGCCACGAGTGGTGCCACTGATGTGATGTACCACATGGAGTCTGGCCGTGACTAGTCACATAAATCAGGCAGCAATGTGACTGGTGTTGGGGCATGGGAAGCCTGGCTGTGGCAGTCCTAAGGTAACCGGGTGCAGATGTGTGTGGCAGCTCCACACCTCCATCCCAGCTTGATTTTTATATGACTCACCCTACCTCATACTAGTCGTTGGGACAAAGCGTGCCACGTCTTAGCTAAGGCTTATTTTTGGGTAGGGCTTATATTAGCTACACACATAAAAATCAAGCTAGGGCTTACTTTTGGGATAGGTTGTATTTTCAGGGAAAAACAGTATTACTATATGGCAACAAAAACTCTTTTACGAAGTGGTTGTCTGGACTTGTACAGCCTAAAGCTGATGGCTCTATGTAAACCCAATCAAATGACTGTGAATTAAGATGCAGGCCTATATTAATTGGACAGCATGGCTTCTACTGGCTTGGGATGTCATGTTTCTGTAATAAGTATCTCCAGCACTGTGTATGGAGATTCTCAGGTCATTTTCTGTTTTTCCTTGAAGACATTTCACTTCTCAACCAAGAATTAATTAATTAGATGTTTTTAATTAGATGTTTTTGTCTGGTGGGATGAATTATTTTCCTTCTCTGGCTAATTAGGGCTCTGCTCATTTTGTTTGAATAAGAAAAAGGATTAAAAAGGTTTTCCTCATTGGTCATTTTGTTGTCCTACATTGGCTGCACAGCCACGTCTGTTGAATCTACCAGAATTAAATTAATCTAAAGGAATGTTATTCTTCTAAAAATTAATGGGTATAATTCTTGGAAAACAAGACGTATTTCTGAGATTTACCCTGTACTTACTGTGTTTTTTCCTGCTATAATCCCTTCTTACACAAGAAGAATGTTTTAGCTAGGTCAGGAAAAATTGTTTCCCAATCCACTTAATAATTTAACTGATAAATTAAATAAAATGTAAGGTGGGGCTACCAGATCTAAATTGCCAAAATCTAGAAAGCTACTAAATGGCATCAAAAGGATTACAGCTTTCTGGATTATTTTGTTTTCTTCTAGTGGTCATTGGATATGTGCAGCTCAGATCTTTACCTCTATTGTGAAGTAACAAAATCATTAACTGAAATTCCTACTGGGCTATATATTTTCCCCAATAAATAAAAGGAGATTTTATTTTATTTAGTGTATATGGCATAAAATGACAGGGAAATGGTAGATACAGTGCAGTCTAGGTCAGTGATGGGTAACCTTTTTGCCATCATGTGCCAAAAGCGGGGAGAACATGGGGGGGTGTTGCACACACGCATGCCCATACCTATAATTCAATGAGTCCCGCCCCCACGCATGTGTGTGGTATACTCCCCATGCTCCCACTTTTGGCACATGATGACACAGTGGGCCTGGTAGGCCCATTTTTTTGCCCTTCCCAGGCTCCAGAGGATTTCTAGGAACCTGGAGAGGGCAAAAATGTCCTTCCCCACACCCTGGAGGCCTTCCGGAGACCGGAAGCGCCCCGTTTCATGACTTCATGTGGGACTGGAAGGTCTGAAATCAGTTGGCCGGTGCGTGCATGCGCACTGGAGCGGAGCTAGGGCAAGGCTCGCATGCCCACAGATACGCATGCCATAGGTTCACCATCATGGGTCTAGGTTATTAGTTTATTCTGTTTAGCACTTGCACATGTATCCTTGATGCATTGGGGTGAATTACGATAGCTTTACACCAGCTAATTATCAGTGCTCAGGTTGCTGGAACTTCTGGGCTCCTCCACTGGTCTCATCTTGCGTCACCTCATGTCATGTTGCCTCGTATCCAGCCAGATCCAGTGCTAGCTTCTGCTCTCCACACCCTCAAATATAGCTAGATTTTTCCTATTGCAGAGATATCCATTTATCTACTTGTAATATTGCATGCTTTCAAACTGCTGAGTGGGTAGGAGCCAGGGAATGAGTGATGGGAGTGGGAGCCAGGGAATGAGTGATTGAACCATTGGAGTGTAGATAATTTCTGGCCAGCAATTCCAACTCATTACGTCAGTGTGTCCATAAAGGGAGATGGTGACAGATGAAAACAGTCCCCAGAGTTCCATAATCTTGTTGTAACTTCAAATCTTTTTTGGCATACGGCTACGAGCAGGGCAAACTAAATCACCAAGTTTTGTATCTTTCCCAAAATGCAAAACGTCTGTTACAATTTGTTTTCTCCTATCTAACCAGTATCCGTACTTCACAAAATGCTGTTAATTAGTAAAAAGGTTGAGTAAAACTTGTCAAACAGGCTCTCTTCAGAGTTTAGTTGAATCTCCCATTACTATTGTAGTCTGCTTCCTGCACAGCTTAGTAGAATAGAATAGAATAGAATAGAATAGAATAGAATAGAATAGAATAGAATAGAATAGAATAGAATAGAATAGAATTCTTTATTGGCTAAATGTAATTGGACACACAAGGGATTTGTCTTGATTTATATGCTCTCAGTATACATAAAAGAAAAGATACATTTGTCAAGAATCATAAGGTACAACACTTAATGATAATCATAGGGTAGCAAAACTGTAGGAAGTTAGCACCCACCCCTTTCCTAGGAAAATGAAATATTCTAGGAAATACTAAAAAGGCAGAATATTATATTTTCCCTAAAGGAGAAACATGTTTCTAAAGACATAAACTCAGAGCTCAGCTCCCTGCCAACCCAGCAGATATTTTGGTGCCAACCTATTTACAAGACAAAGGCTGGGCCAGCGTATCCACAGCACAAAAGACATGGCCCTCAGGACAAGATAGGATTAGCCCTCACTCAAGATCCAAACCAGGACAAAGCCATTAAGCCATAATAGGAATTGCCAAAGCCCATTCATTACATAATCACCCAGCAAGATTCAACCAAGCTTGATTCAGAAAATCTACAAGGTTAGCTATGACCCCCTACAGCAGCCAATAGCTTACCACAAGAACAGGAAGCTCA